TGCGCCGCTCCGCTCGTGGCCGCCGCCTCCCCTGTCAATCCCGCCGCCTCCCCTGTCATCCCGCCGCCCGCACCACCGCCGCCACCGCCTCGCGCCTCGCCGCCGCCGCCACCGACCGCCCTCCCCTGTGCCGCTGAGCGCGGTGCAGGGGGCGAGCCCCCGCTGCGCAGCCTCACCGCAGTGCACTGCGCTCTCCGCCCCTGACGATTAGTGAGGAGGTGGTGTTGCACAGCATGGAGCTCGGCGAGCGTTTAGCGAGCCCCTCAGCTAGATTTAGAAAAGGAGTTGCGGTGTTGATCGCCGCGGGAGCCCTCTTATTTAGCGCATGTCTCAAGGTCCGATACTGGAAGCCCATATAGGCACCTTACACTCCCCCGCAGTATCGCACCTCTTGAGCGACACTACGTTTCCTCAGCTGGGGATTCTCCGGGTAGTACCCCTCTTTCTTTGTACCCGTGCTGGCCGGATTCCTTCCTCCTCCGAACAAATCAAGTTCGATCGGTTGGCAAGCTTTTCCGGCAAACAAAAAGGAAAACAGAGGGTCCCCAGCACTTTGCGTTTCCGGAAATTTCGAGGGAACAGAGAGAGATTTTTAGCAATACCAAACAATGCGGCATATGGGCTTTGAGCTTTGTCCCATGGAGCGAGCGCCGGGACCTGCGTCACCGCATACATGCTCAGACGGGGCTAGGTGTGAGTGTGAGTGAGCGCAATCACCTCGCAATGCCCCGTCGCTCCAGCGTTCTTCCCAGCGTCTGCGATGGAAACCGGGTTGGATGACGTCAAAAACTGAACACGCCCATGTTTATTAATGCCCGCTTTCACGCCCATCGTGGCGAACCCGCCATCCATCACGATGCTGCACGCCTTGTCCAGGTTCTTTTCACGCTCCGCGAACGAAACGAATCGCAGGTCGTAATTCTTCTTGCAACAAAACTCATCGTCGTTGCACTCCCCGTCGTTGAAGATAAGCTTGCAGTACCGCAAAGTAGCTGCTGTGGTCGCCCCATCGTTCATTTTGGCCACTTCATTACTGGTAGCTTGCGGATAGAGGCCCTTTGACCAGTTGTACTTGATCCAGTCGAGGTATTGCGTGGGCGGCGAGTGCCAATCCTGCTCCCCCCAAGGACCTGTCAGCGCGTACGTTGTTTCTCTGATGTATTCGCACATGCTCGGCGGCTTTTTCGGCTTTTCATGATTGGAAGGATCGAGCTTGAACTCTTTCTCGTACGAAGTTACCACCTTGGGGTCCAGGAGTGTATTTGCTTGACCGAGCGTTGCCGTCCAGTACCACTCGAGGCCGACGGCCTGGTAGGGCTTGCCCTCTCCTGCGTCGCGCGGCACCATGCCTGGGACCTGATCGTAAACATAGTCGCACGGCTTGAGCTCGAAGGGCTTGCCCTCAAAAGTGGTCGTCATGCGACCAGTCCAAAAGAGCTCAGTGGCCTTTCGCAGTGCGTGCACTGGCGCGTTGCCAGACAGGGCAGACAGCATCGCCGTGGGCGCGCATGAGCCGCGAAGTACCTGGTTTGCATTCTGCTGCAGCACGGTGCGCGCAATGTCGCACATCGCCCAGCCAGTGACTGCGTTGAAGTGATACGGCGGACCAAGGTCGTTGAAGGTCGCACTGCCCTTGTATGTTTCGTCGGCCGGCGTTGCGACTACGCCCCCTTTGCGCCACGACGAATATTTCTTGCTGATAGCTTCGCCAACAACAGCGTGCTTTGCAAATGCGGGTCCGGCCGGGAAACTTTCGATAAGCTCGTCGAAGGCGCTCATGAAGGCACAGAAGGCCTGACAAGGGCGCCCGGCCGAACTCTGGCACGCGGATGAAGGGCCATCGAAGCATTCCTGCACTCCAAGCGCCTTCAGTGTGGCATCCGCCTCCACATCTCCAGAGAAGTCGATCGCGCCGCACATTTCCCACGATGGCCTGAGCTCGCCCTTTTGGTTGAAGACGTCCTTGCTCTCGTCGATGTCCTTAAAGTAACGTGCGATGACTTCGCGCATGGCGATCGCGTCCTCGTCCGAGACGCGGTGTGTTGGCACGAGCGGACGGTCGGCGTAGGGGTTGGGAGGGCGGCGGCGGGGAGGGCGGGGGCGAGCTGACGCCGCCGTTAGCGTTTGAAGAGGCAGGTCTAGGCCGAGCCCCCGTTGCGATTCGGAGTCAAACGGAGCAAAGAGCGTCTCACGGACGGGAGAGGTTGCCGTCGGAGAGATTGCCGTCACCGCGCCAGAGGGGAGAAACGCAACGCCGCTGGAACCGGAGCCGCTTGAGGAGTAGACGAAGGCCCCGCCGCTCGCCGCGATCAGGAAGAAGACAGTGCAAAACAGGCTGGGCAAGCAGATCTTGGGCCAGGAGAGCCAGCCGGAAGCGGAGACGGAGCCCTCCGGCGGGGGAATCGTGGTCGTCTCAAGGTTGGCCGTCGCGCCCTGAACGGGGCGCGAGACTGGCTGTGAGCTGTGGCAGGTCGAGCGGCAGGGGGAGGCCGTATGCAGGCAGCGAGCACCGAGTTTGTGGTCGACGACGGCGTGGAGCCGCGGGGCGCCTTGCCGGTGCCACCGACAGACTCGGGCGAGACCGACTCGAACTGCGGCGCGCGCGACGCGCTGTCAAGCAAAGGCGCGGGGCAGTTTGTGTGTCGTCTGTGTGGGAGGGCGTGCACCGAGGACTCCTTCTCCGCGCCCTTCTCCTTTCCCTTCTTCTCGTCCTCGTCCTCGTCCTCGTCGATCTCCGCCTTGACGTTCGTCTCGACGTCGTCGAGCAGATCGTACTTGTTGGAGACCTTCGTGGACTTGACCTCGCCCGTGCGCTCCGTCTTGTTGCGCGAGTTCGAGACGATCCAGTCGGGCTCGCCCTACGCATCGAACGCGCGATGGGGTCAGTCAGTGGGTCCGCGCAGACGCACGGCACAGAATGCGGCGCTCGCCGCCGGGGCGGGCTTCTCCTTTGGAAACTCCTTGGCCGAGACGGTCCAGCCGTCGTCGCCCTACGCAATGGAAAGTGGGGCGGGGTCAAGGAGTGGGTCGGCTGGCGCACGGCGCAGAAGCAAGGCGCTCGCCGCCGGGGCGGGCTCCGGAAACTCCTTGATCGACGGCAGCGTCTCGCCGCAAACCGCCGCCGGCTTGAGGGCCGTGGCGACCTCGGTGGCCGGCTTGAGCGCCGGGTTCTTGATGGCGCCGGTCTCGTCAACGGTGGCCTCCGCGCCAGACTCTGCCGCAGGGATGTCCTTCTTGAGGGCGCCCTCGACGGCGCCGATGGGGACCGTCGGTGGGCCGGTCGGGCGCGTAAACTTGGACCAGAAAACGGCGGTCTGGCGCGGCGCGTGGGCGCCGAACATGGCCTTGGCCTTGTCCGAGTCGACCGCGCCCGCGTCGGGCGCCTTTTCCGCGGCCGGGTCCTTCTTGGGGACGCCCTCCGTGCCAGTCTTTGCCACGGAGATGTCCTTGACGCTCTTGACGCCGCACGCCTGTGGGCGAGGGAGAGTACGCGCAGGCTCTCGGAGACGGGAGAGGGATGATCACGATCCTGGCGTGCGCACGCGCACCTTGGCTCCAAGGAGCGAAGGCGACACCGACGCGGAGATGACGAGCGTGATGCGGCCGTCGTCAGCCGGCACGATTCCGACCTTCGCGGAGGACGTCATCGGCGATAACTCGCCTTCGACGTTGCCGCCGCCCTCGTCAATGCCGTCCTTGAGCGGGCTGGGCTCGCTCTCAGACGGGACGTTGCCGCTGCCTAAGAGGGGCCGCCGGTGCCGGTGTCGATGCCATCCTTGAGCGAGACGGGCTCGGAGGGGATGCCGACGGCGTCGCCTCCGCCAGGGTCGACGGTCGTGTTGTCCGCCAGAGACGCCTGTCAGCCACAGAACGCGAGAGGGTCGTCTTGCAGGGAAGGCGCAGCGTTGCGTGCGTTGCAGCGGTGCGCGTGAGTGTGTTACCCCCTCCCTCAGCCACTGCAAATTAACGCACACCTGCTTGTCAGCAAGCGGCGGCGGAGGAGAGAGCTTGAGCATGAGCTTGTCACCGGCGGCCGGCACGAACTCGAGTTTGAGCATGTTGATCGAATGAATTCCTGCAGAGAGTCAAGAAGCGGTTGAAGGTGGTGTCCCCGATGGGAGGTGCAGACCAGCGCTCGAGTGGCCCTCGCGGCTGCGGACACAGAGTGGCACTCTCTAGGCGCAGCAGAGATGCGGGAACTTTGCTCGGCGGGGTCAATCTCAGGTCAATCTCGGCTCGTGGCAGGAAAGGCAAGCGCCTACGGGATCGCGACCATGTGAAAGAGGGTGAAAAACTGGTATGGAGATGTCTGGGGGTATATGGGGTATATGGGGGTATATGGGGGTATATGGGGGTATGAGAAAATCTCGGGCAATCTCGGGCAAATCTCACACATCTCCAACCCCCCACCCTCCACCCTCCACCCCCACCCCCACCCCCACCACCACCACCACCCCCGCCCCCGTCCCACCAGTACCCAAGCCTCGGCAAGGGAAAAGAAAATCGGAATGGCATCAGGTTTCGCATCTCTCTGTGCAGAGGACTAACGCGAGCCCTGGATGACTGATTGGGACGAGAGTGTCGAGCAGGAGAACGCCGACGCGCCTACGGACCGCACGTCGCGGCGTGAGCGTCGAGACGAGGCCGCCGGCACGCTCTCTCGCGTCCTCGGCGCTCGGACTGGAGCCGGGCGGCGATTGGCGAGCAGCGAGAGCGGGTCGCTCTCTTGCCGTAAGAGAGGGAGGGCGGTCGGACGGGTTCGCGCGAGACAAGGGGGTGGAATGGGCAGCAGCGGACGCGTTTCGCGGCCTCCTCGATGGCAGCAGCCTCACCTGCGAACGGGAGGTGGCAGGCATTGTGAGGCCGAGAGGGGGCGCAGCCTCTCGGGCGCCAAATCGAAGCGCATCGCATGGTGGGAGCGGAGAGGGAGCGGCGGGTTACGTGAGCAAGAGGCGTCGCGCCGCTCGGGCGTGCAGCTCCCCGCGGCCATATGTGCGTCGATGCGGCGGGGCCAGCGCGAGCGGAACGGGAAAGGCGAGGGTTGGGCCTTGTCTGTAGGCAAAGGCCGTCGGGGGAATGTCGAGTGCTGGCGAAAGGTGTTGAGGGGGACGTGTATATGCCCCCCGAGCTGGCGAAAGGTGTTGAGGGGAACATGCGAACATCTCATGTTCACACTGTCGTCTGTGGCCGCAAACTGTGGCCGCGAAAACCAGGCCAAAAACCAACACCCTGACGCCAAGCTTTTGGAAACCCGAGAGGGCCCTCGACCGGCCTGGCGAGCTTGAGAGAGAAACTTTGAACACTCCTAGCTACAGCTACTCGTTTTTTGGTTTCGACTTCGTCTTTCGAGCTTGCGACGACGCGGAGGCACAGCCGTGTGGCACAGGCAGGGCGCTGAGACCGTGTCCGTGAGAGAGCAGAGACCGCTGAACCGCTGTGCGGGTGCCGGGTCCCTTGCCCTTAAGCGTTGTATATGCCCCCGTGCATGAGCCCACAGGGGCTGACCCGCTGTGAGTGTGACGACTGACGTGTGAGTGAGTGAGTGAGATGTGCACTCAGACGTTGTTTCGCGTCTGCGGGCAGAGTGTGTCGGAGCGCTCTCGCACACGCTCCCAAGGCTCACATCCCTCGACAGTCCCATTACGCACACAGGAGATGTGAGTGAGTGAGTATTAATAGCTCCGCCGTTCATGGAGGCAACCGATGCGAGTCGACTGGTGTGTGTCGTCGTGGTTTCGTATCAAGAATACTCACTCACTCACGCGCCTCATGTGTGTGTGTGAGTGTGGGCTAACCTCGGAAATGCGCACCTCGTGGATGGCTGCGCTCCCTGTTCACATCGGCTAGCGTGTGTGCCTGTCCGCGATTGGGAGAGCACTTGTGACGAGAGGCATAGTTAGTAACCAGTTGCCTGAAAAGGTTAGGCGAGAGTGGCAGTGGAGTCGCGCTGGTGCGGACTTGCTAAAATCTAAAATGCTAAGTCGTGTGTGCACCTTTTTGCTTGCTAATACTGAACATTTTTTTACCGCGTTGCGCGTAGAGCTCTACGCCGGCTCTCGACCTCTTTTACAAGTACGTCCTCACCATGAAAGCTAGTTGAGGCTAGCTCAGCCAGGCTCAGCTACAAACTGGGGGACAATACGGGCCTCCCACCACCGCCCCGCCACCTCCACTGCCAGCAGCAGCGCCACCAGCCGGCCCTTCCCTCTCTCCGCCAAGCAGCGCGTACTCAGCGTCCTCGCAAGGCATCGCCACGTGCAACGTCGGGAACTCGATCACCTACAGAGCGACTCGTCAAGTATTCAGGCGGGGGTTGGCACTCCCTTCCGTGCAGCCGTCGACAGCGCAGGTCACCACGTGCGAGCGGAGCGCCTCGCCCAGACTCGCGTCGAGCGGGAGCAGGACGAAGCGAGGGTCGTTGGCCTAGTGTGTGGCCAGGCGAGGCCGTGAGCACACGGAGCGATACGAGGAGGTGAGGCTGCGAAGGCACGCTGGCTGCAGCACTGCGGCGACCTGCGTCACAGATGGGGCTCTGCATCTAGAGGCCGCCTCTGCATCTAGAGGCTGCATCTGCATCCAGAGGCTGCATCTGCATCTAGAGGCACCTAGAGGCTGCATCTAGGCTGCATTTGCATCCAGAGGCTGCATCTGCATCTAGAGGCTGCATCTGCATCTAGAGGCTCTAGAGGCTGCATCTAGGCTGCATCTGCATCTAGAGGCTGCATCTGTGAGGCTCTGCATCTAGAGGGGCAGCGTACCGGCCGCTGCTGCAGCGGCAGCAGCACGCGCAGCGCGCCGACGCCCTCGCGCGAGTAGGAGCGCAGCTTGTGCCGCAGCAGGCTCCGCTCCCCCTCCGCCGCCGCGCCGCCGCCGCACGCGCCGCCGCCGTCCGCGCCGCCGCCGCCAGCGGGAGCAGCAGCGCCGCCAGCGGGAGCAGCGCCGCCGGCAGGCGGGCGGAGGCCGCCGCCGAGGAGGACCGCCTCGAGCAGCGCCCGGAGGCTCGTCCTGTCGCCCACCGCCGCCTCGACGTGAGTGATACCCGCCCGCCCGAACCGCAGCTCGACGCGCCACCGGAGCGACTTGCGCCGCGCGTCGTATCTGTTTGATACCGGAACCCAGAGTTGGGCGTAAGGGCCATGACGCCGCCGGACAACCGCATCTTGGGGGTCGACATGTACCGCGCCACCGCGCTCTCGATGGTCCTCTGGCTGGGTCTTCTCGAGGCGACCGAGGCGTGCGGCGAGGACGAGTGCAACTGGACGCAGCCGCTCCACTACTTTGAGCAGCTCTCCGGCCTCTTCTTCCTGCTCTCGGGCCTGGGCAACGCGCTCTCCATCCTGCGCAACCTCCAGCGCGGCCGCTCCGCCGCCTCTCTCCTGTCGGCGCAGCTCCTTCGCTCCGCCATCCTCACCGCGGTCGGCGTCGGCATGCGCGGCGTCTGCCTCTTCGTCACGCGCCTCGCAAAGCCGCTGCACAAGGACGAGGCGACTCCGTCGTCCGCCTGGCCGCCGTATGCGGAGTGGCCGTCGCTGCTGCGCGCCGACGGACTCGCTGCCCTCGAGTCTCCGCGCGCCCTCGCCTTTCACGGCGTCACGACCGGCCTGGCCTCCGTCGTCGTGTTTCTCCTCCTCGCCCTCCGCCTGCCCGCCGCCGCTCTGCCGCCCGCGCTGCTCGCCGCCGCCGCCGCCACGCTCGCCGCCAACGCGCCCGCGCGCCGACTCGCCGACGGCGCCACGTGCTGCACCCCGCCGCTGCCGGCCGAGGCGGCGCCCGGCAGCGGTCCGCCCGGCGGCGGTCCCGACACGAGCGCGCCGCGCCACCCTCTCTTCCTGTGCGGCGAGACGAGCCTGAGCTTCACGGCGTCGCCCGGGGCGCTGCGGTACTTTCGGGTCCCCGCGGCGTGCGCCGTCGTGCACGGCTACGCC